AATAAACCAGTACCTTCAAAGAAATTCAAGAAAGGAAAATGAGAACCAAGAAAGACCAAAGACTACTGAAAAAAAAAATTGAATATTCAATAATGTGAGTGAAATGTATTGCTATGAAATAATTTTGTTTTTATGAGCACTTGAGGAAACTATAGATGATGAACACAAGCAAACAGATAACTAGGAAAATTAAGATAAGAGGACTTGTATAATTGAATATATTCAATTTCTAGAGCTAAGCCTAAAATGAAAGTAAAGATTAGGGTGAAAGGAAAAAAAAAATGCACCCTGGTAACTAACAATACTGGAGGAGGAAAGGGGAAAGAAGATGGCATATAGAGTGATTCCTCATGTGCAATAACTGAAAATTAAAGGATGGTATCTCAAGCTGACAAATCAAGTAGTAGAAATATAAGCATATTTAACAAAACAAAGGTACTTTTGCAAACTGTAAAACTGGAGCAATGCCCGATTCATCTGTATGATAGAATACAGCCTTATAAAAGAATGGGGAAGGCATCTTTGCACTGTCAGGGAGAGTGATCCATGATAAATTAAAAAGCAAGATGCAGAACAGGTTGTAAAATATGCTACCATTTATGTAAAATAAGTAGAAAAATAATATGTGTTTGTATATATTTAACTTTTTAAAACTCAGGAAGGATACAGTAGAAACTTTAAGATAAAGGTTACCATTTTGGGATAGGGCTTGAGAGTGGTTATATGGGGGACACATAGGAGGTTGAATTTTTCATTGTTATTTTCTTCCTTGTCTTATTTTTCACACATGTGCATGTATTACATATTCAAAAATTAGATTAATGAAGAAAATCAAACCAGACATCCCCTGTAAGTTCTGGTCCTATATTAAATCTTAGACAAAACTTTGAGATAGTTTTAGTTGGCATCTCTGCAAAATCTCACGGATTTTCATTCTTTCCCAGCATATAGTCTTGTTAAGTGTAGGCTTCCTGTATGAGGCCCTCAGACCCTATAGATGAAGAAAACATTTTTCTTTGAATGACCTGCCATTTCATCTAGACAACCTCCCTGTCCTTTCTTAATTTGTGTGTGACATAATCAGTAATTGTTAAGGGTGGTTCTATATAATTAAGTGAAGGTTCATTTCTTAACCTGTTGTGTAGGTTTCTTTACGTGATTAGTCTTGGAAGGCATTGGGCTTCCATGATGAATGATCATTTCCTTGTGAGTCAATATCTAATACTCATTTGCAGCCTAACTTGGTCAAAATAGAACTCTTTTTTTTTTTTTGAGACGAGGTTTCACTCATGTTACCCAGGCTGGGGAGCAATGGCGTGATCTCGGCTCACCGCAACCTCTGCCTCCTGGGTTCAGGCAATTCTCCTGCCTCAGCCTCCTGAGAAGCTGGGATTACAGGCACGCACCACCATGCCCAGCTAATTTTTTGTATTTTTTTTTTAGTAGAGATGGGGTTTCACCATGTTGACCAGGATGGTCTCGATCTCTTGACCTCGTGATCCACCCGCCTCGGCCTCCCAAAGTGCTGGGATTACAGGCTTGAGCCACCGCGCCCGGCCCAAAATAGAACTCTTGATAATGAATCTTAACTTCAGGGCTCTGTGAAACAGGAAACAGATGATTTTTTTTTTTTCCAGTTAAGGAAAATGAGACATCAGAAGCTTGTGACTTACCACAAGTTACCCAGAAAATAAAGAGTTAGGCTGGGGAAGATACAACCATGATTTCGTGGATGGGGCCTTGGCTCCCAGACAGTACCAACTGACTTAATCGTTGATACTGTGTATCCTGCCATGGTGATAGAGCACAATGGATTGAATTGTTGGAGTTTCCCCTTCATTTTTTGGACCTTATGCAGTTGTCCTTGCAAAGAGATTCTCAAATTCACACACATATGCACACGTACATACACACAATGTGATTCTAATTCACACACATGCAATGTGATCCTAATACACACACACACACACGCTCTCGCGCTCTCTCTCTCTCTCTCCCCCTCCGCCGTCCCTCCCCCCCCCCCTCTCTCCCTCTGTCTCTCTTTCTCTCCCTCTCTTTCTGTTTCTCTCTCTCTCTCTGCATTCCTAATTGCCAGTAATAAAATTGTTACCTTTTGTGTGTGATTTAAGATAAATCAAAGGGAATGTTCATGAAGTGGTTCTCATTACCTTGAACTCTGCTTTAAGTTACTTTTTCGTAATAAATACATTACAAGTATTCTGCAGCATTTTCTAAAATTTTTCTAAATGCATTGGCTCTAATGCATTAATTGTATTGCATTTTTACCTTGATTTCTAAGGCTGTATTTGTAAAATGGAGATGATAATCTTTGCCTTCTTCACAGGATGGTAGTGATTACTAAATGGGACAGTGGATGTGAACATACTTTTGTAAAACTGTAAATTGTTTTACAAATACAGAGATGGTGGTGCTAGTTTTACATTAATTAGATCTTATTGCCTCTCCATATATTCATGCCATGCCATTCTGTCCCTTGCAGATCCACTTTTTTCTAGTAATAAAATTATGAGAGCCCATTATATACTTAACATTCCTTTGCATTAGCCTTTTCCCTTCTGTTTCTTTTTCTGTCCACACCTTCATCTGAAGTAAAAACTATTTGAATAATGATGTACACAGATCTTTGTAATGAACAGTACATAAACAATACTGTAGATATAATTTTAAAACCCTTATGAGTAAACAGGCTTTGTAAACAGACCTGTGTTTTTTAATCCAGGTGTCACCCTATATTGGCTATGTGACCTTGGGAAAGTTATTTAATCTCTTGTAGATTCAGTGTTCTCATGTGTAAAGTGGGGGATAATGTTTATCTTCTGAAGTTGTTGATGACTAAATGAGATTCTTTTTACAAAGCACTTGGAACATTGCTTTCAGAATGTAATCTACCCTAATATCTTCAAACAAACCCATTCTAGTTTAAACATAATCATCACTTGATGTTAATAGTTTTTACTATTTTGGTTCTGGTCCTTTTTATAAAGTAAGTTACATTGGTAAAGATCAGAAATTTAAGATTCACAGTTGTTTTAGATACTTGCCATTTACTCACTGGCATGAAAAATGGGAGAAGTAAATCACATAACAGTGTGCATTATTTTACTTCTGGTTTATTTGTGTGTATAGGAACCTCAAAGCGCCTCAGATATTTTTTAAATAGTATGCGTTTATTTAATATATTTTACAATTACCTGCTATATACTTTGAATTACTATTAGGCTTTGGAATACGGAAGTGAAAAACATAATTGATGTCTGTATTGAAAGTCATCATTTGTTCAAGGAGACAAATAAGTTAATTATAATATCAGAAGTACTATAATAGCTTTGGGAAGCCAGAGGGGTGCTTCCTGCCTCTTCAGGATAGGTGCGGAGTCTTGAATGCGCTTCCCAGGGAAGGTGACACCTGAGTCAAGTCTGCAAAGAGCCGGACTTGGAACGTGAAGCCATCTCTTCCAGGCTAAGGAAATGAAGTTCATATTAAGATGATGAAGAGCCATTACATGCTTTTATTTAGAGCAAGATGAACAGATTAAGAATTGCTGGTAATTACCTGGAAGCACACCTCCAAGCAAGGGGAGCAGCATCAATTTTATCATCCTCGACATTGCTACCATTTAACACCTGCTCCGTCTCTGACTTCTGTATATATTATCTAATTTAATGTGCACCCTTGAATTAGATATTATTGCCATTATATTATACAGGTAAGGAAACACAGGACAATAGAGGTTAATAGAGGAGTGAGTGATTGGACATGCAAGAGAGAATATGTTTGATTACCTTCCATTTCACCTCACCGGTGATTCTAAATAGAGATGATTTGTTGATCCTCAGTCTTGATTTTCATGTTTCATATTGTGAACATTTTACTGAATTTGGTTTGATTATAGAATCTAAAGATAACACATATTCCCTCCAAGATAGCTTTAAACCCAAATCTGTCATTTCATCTGGTGCCCAATCCAAGGAACTCTGGTTTATTCTAACACTAGAGGGAAAAAATGGCTATGTTAGACTCACTGAAAGAGAACATTCCAGTCTCCAGTGTAGAACTGCACCCTTTCTAGAGCATATCACCTTAAATAATTTTTAGCCCTATCCTTTAGAACACTTGTAGGATATAAACCACTTTGTTCCCTCTTCTGTCTCCTTTTCCTCTTAATTATGTTAAGAAAATATTTGGAATGAAACTTCATTGGGATATGAAATGTTTTAGTTGTGTAATTGTTGAAATCTCATATGTAAGTTAGGACCTAGCTTTTCTAGTAGTTTGAAACTTGGTTTTTTTCATGTTTCTGCTCCATGTTTATGTGGTATATTGAAGCAAAAGAGTAAGAGGTGATAGTATTTGAAAGTTAAAAAAAAAAAAACAACAAACCCTGATTATTAATCCTGCCACAGTCTTCATTAACTTTCTAAATGTTGTCAAAATTGGCCATTGATCTTCATCCTTAGTTCTTTCATTGAAAATAGAAATACAATAGAGTGAGAAATCACTTAAAAAAAGAAAATAGAAATAAAGTATCTCTTCTCTCCTGGAAATGTATTAAAATGAATTTTTTAAATACTTGTATATAACTAAAAGTGATATTGCAAAGATAGCATGTATATAATTTTGACTTGCTTTACTCACCTTTTATTCTTTTTATTTCAGCACAATCTGAAATCGAAGTGTCTGTCTCTGCAAGGAATATCAGAAGGCTACTAAGTTTCCAGCGATATCTTAGATCTTCACGCTTTTTTCGTGGTACTACAGTTTCAAATTCTCTAAACATTTTAGATGATGATTATAATGGACAAGCCAAGGTGTGTATAGTTTTTTTAAATAAAACATTAATTTTTGATAAGTTTACTGAAGCCCTTTATTCCCCATATAGTAATGATTTGTAGAGCCTTTTTTTCTATGAAAAGCAGTTGAGGCCATTTTCCAGGTTTTTTTCTTTAGAGCAGCTGTTTGTTTTATAAGTAAGCATTACAGAGCAAGGGAAATTGAGCAGTGACAATGTTTTCATTTGTTATTACAACATTACATAACAAGTAGATCAATAGAACATTAAACTGTAAGATCTCACAGAATCATAATGCTGGGAAGAATCTTAGAGCTTATCTGATCTAATCACATGTCCGTATTCCATCAGTAAGGAAACTGAGTCCAAGAGAGCACAAGGGATTTGTTTGTGCTCACCCAGCTGATTAGAGGTAAACCCAGCAGAGGAAATTGGGTCTCTCCCTGTGTCTGTGTGTGTGTGTGTGTGTGTGTGTGTGTGTGTGTGTGTGTGTATTAATAATACCTTTTCACAAAGGTCTTGTGACTTTTAATCAAATGAGTTTTCATAGTCTTACATCAAGAGAGATTTTGAGGGTTTAGATATATCATAATCCTGTTGATTTTGAGCATTATTTACTTCATCTTTATATAATTTAAAAAGAAATGTCTTACTGAACGTCAAGGTTAAATAACCTTGTTTTTAACCAAATGAGGATTTTAAATAATCTTAAATTTTCAATGTATTTTAAGTTATTATTTGACTTAATATTTATAAGACTAGATTTTTAAGTTTGCATAGGTTAAGTTTTTAAGTTGTGTAGATAAAGCTGGCATGTCTTCTTTACAGTTACATGAAAGTGGAAAAAAATGCTTCCCTGTTTAGTAAAATACATCAGTGGAAAGTCTTCATGCTTGCTTTAAATGTTAAAAAGTTTACAAGTTCTGCCTTTTAGAATGAGAATATTGATCTGTATATCATTTGTTGTTATTCATACTGTCGTAATTAATGATCTCTACTAGTAGTATCTTAGTGTTGCCAATGTCAGTGTATTCAAAAATGTATACAACAGTGAACCTTTGGATGTAAAAGTTTTTTTCTAGAAAAAGTCCACAAAATGTTCAGGTTAAGATTATATGGTATACAATAAAGAAAATATATATAAAAAAAAGAGTATATGGTATAAAAATATTTGGGTTTTAGGGTCTTCGTAGGATTTGTTTGCTTGGCTGAAGTACACATTATCCTAAAAGTTAATGTAGTAAATTGTATTATTTTATAAGCATATTTAGATAATATAAATAAATATCCATAAGTTAGTGTTTTTTAAAAACTGAACAACAAATAATTTAAGCATGATATGGTATCAGTGTCAGATGCCTAGGTTCTAGAAACAGATTACTAACTTAAGACCGAGCTCTATCACTTTATAGCTGAACAAGTTAGTTTTTTTTTTTTTTTTTTTTTTGCTTGTTTCTACATCCATAAAATGAAATGAGAATTGAAAACAATGCCTATCCATGTGCAGTGGCTCATGCCTGTAATCCCAGCACTTTGGCAGGCCAAGGTGGGAGCATCACTTGAGCCCAGGAGTTTGAAACGAGCCTGGGCAGCATGCTGAGACCTTGTCTCTAAAAAAAAAACAAAAGGTGTGGTAACACATGCTTGTCGTCCCAGCTTCTCAGGAGATTGAGGCTTCAGTAAGCTGTCTTGTTCATGCCACTGCACTCAGCCTTGGTGACAGTGAGTGTAAGACCCTGTCTTAAAAAATGAAAACTATGTGTGATAGTGTTGTGAGTAGTAAAAGAGTGAGTAAATTAGTACCTGGAGTATAGTAAATACTCAAAAAAATAGTGTGACTTATTTTTATTAGATTTTTTACAATTTAGTTTCTAAACCATGCAACATTTGAACTACACTTCTGTGATGTTAAGTGATACTAGAATTCTTGAAGCTGTGCGGGCCTATAGGAATAAGTTGAGAAACATAACCTTCCTGTGCATTTATTAATGGAAAAACAAAGTAATGTTTCATTTTTCAAATGGAGTTTATTCTTTTGCACATTTTTTGGAGCCAGTTGAAAAAGTCATGATTAAAAGGAGAATGATACTTGTATTTTTTTTTAAAGTAAATAAATCACTTTCCATTTTCATTAACTTCTCTATGGAATATCTACAAAATACAATGTTACTGAAATTAAATTATAGTAGGAATGTTTGGTTTTCATTTCAGTGTATGCTGGAAAAAGTTGGAAATTGGAATTTTGATATCTTTCTATTTGATAGACTAACAAATGGTAAGTGAAGAATTTGACTTACTCCAGTTAATATAGTCTAGATTACTACATTGATGGTGCAGCCACTAGTGTGTTGCTTTCATTTACTGTGCTGAGGTTGTGAGCCCTCTACTGGAGGAGAGAATGTATTAGTCCATTTTCACACTGCTGATAAAAGACATACCCGAGACTGGGTCATTTATAAAGAAAAAGAGGTTTAATGGACTCACAGTTCCATGTGGCTGGGGAGGCCTCGTAATCATGGTGGAAGGTGAAAGGCACATCTTACATGGTGGCAAGCAAGAGAGAAATAAGAGCCAAGCAAAAGGGGGAACCCCTTAAGAAATCACCAGATCTTGTTAGACTTATTCATTACCACAAGAACAGTATTAGGGACAGTGCCTCCATGGTTCAATTATCTCCCACCAGGTTCCTCCCACAACATGTGAAAATTATGGGAACTACAATCCAAGATGAGATTTGGCTGGGGACACAGCCAAACCATATCAGGGAGCATCATTTTGTTTCTTTTTAAGTAACTTTTCTAAAAGCCTAGAGAATCAGTCTCATAATTTTATGTTTTGATTGTTGTCCTTAACAATAATCAGAAGTCAAAAAAAAGAAAAGGCCAGGTGTGGTAGTTCACACCTGTAATCCAAGCACTTTGGAGGCCAAGGCTGGTGGATCACCTGAGGTCGGGAGCCTGACCAACATGGAAACCCCTTCTTAAAAAAAAAAAAAAAAAATAGGTGAAGGAGAGGAAGGCAGCAAATCACACTATCACGTGTGTACCTGTGCAACAGTCTTGCATGTTCTTTACATGTACCCCAAAACCTAAAATGCAATTAAAAAAAAACAATAATCAGCAGTTGTCATCATCATCGTCGTCATCATGACTTGGCTTGATTGGTTGGCAATTGAGACTGCTATTTTTAATAATAACCCAAAGTAAACATTATTATCTCAACGTCTTTTATTTTTCTTTTTTGGTTTATTTTAGATTGTGGCCATTTACAATGACATCTGATATTGTATGCCTATTATGATAGCCACTGCTGAGTGGTGGGTTAACCACCTTTTGGCACAACCTGACCAACAGCAGTGGTTCCCTGCTTTCAGATAGGGAATAGGAAAGAGCTGTAGCTTCTTTAGGAAGGCTTGTCAGAATGTACAGAGAATATGAGTGGTTTGGGGAAAAATGCCCACAGGTGATTCTAATCTGCTTACCCACTCCTGAGTTTAGTTTGGTCCTGGCTGGAGGGATCATGTTTTCTTGTTCTCCTTGGGAACAGGACATGTTCTGTAGGAAGAGGAACAGGGAATCACTCTTATTTAGGATAAAATTGTGGGCATAATTATTGGTGGTACAATTGAGGACCGCTAAGCCTTAGGCAGTTCTATCTTTTAATATACCTTTATTTGGGTAGCTTTTCTAGAAATACAATTTCCTCTTTCAAGAAAGTGTTTGTTTCTATTTCTGTTTTTTAAAAAGTTCCTTTGTGCCTGTTATTTGCTTTTTTAACACAACTAAGCATCTCTTATTTTGAAATGTTTTGTTGATTTGTATTCTTATTCACTGGTAAAAGCAGCTCAACTAGGCCAGATCTGGTGGGTGGCACATGCCTGTAATCCCAGCACTTTGGGAGGCTGATGCAGTTGGATCACATAAGGTCAGGAGTTTAAGACCAGCCTGGCCAACATGGCAAAATCCCATCTCTATTAAAAATACAAAAACTTAGCTGGGTGTGGTGGTGCATATCTGTAATCACAGCTACTTGGGAGACTGAGGCAGGAGAACTGCTTGAACCTAGGAGTTGGGGGTTGCAGTGAGGTGAGATTGTGCCATTGTACTCCAGCCTGAGCAATAGAGTAAGACTCCATCTCAAAAAAAAAAAAAAAAGAAAAGAAAAAAGAAAAAAGGCTGTTCAACTAGTTCTTTATTCCTAGCAGAAAATACACTGAGAGGAAGTCAGTGCTGACTTTAGAATAATGAAATCACTGCTGTACTTGGAAATCACCTGCTTTTTCTTCCTGCTTCAGAATGAAGCTTGTTTCATAAGGAAGCCAAATACGTAAAATGAACAAGCAAATACAACTTTATTTTTCTTGAGAATCAGTGTGGGTCTTTTGGTATCACTCCATTATTCTCTGTAAGCTGTATGACAATGCCTAGTGGAAATTCCTTTGTCTATACCTTCTGTTGGTTTATGCACTGTTGACACAAAATAAGTTGGACAGATCCTAGGCAAAATTGTGAAGACAGTGAAGTTTGCCTTTATCAGCAAAGCCACCCTCCTGCCTCCCTGCCTTTTTATTCCTCCCCTTTGCTATCTATCTCCTGCTTTTCCTTTGCCCTTGGTGATTAAGTGTTCTGTTCTCCCTGCCCCCACCTTGGCCCATACACACAGGAAAGGCTCTGATGTCATTTACACAGTTAGCCTTCCCTTGGGTGTTCTCCTTTTTAAAAATATAGGTAGTAAAAGATCAAGTTGCCCACTTTCTTCTTGCTCTGGGAAATTCCCCTTTCCTAACTCAACATAAGTATTACGTTAGGTATTATCTCAAGACAAATATAGATGAAACAATGCCACCTTTCACACTTCAAGGTTTAGCCTTACATAAACTCTCATAGCCTATTATTAGTCTGCTGGGACACTTGTCACTCATTGAAATAGGTGATTGTTCTTCTCTAAATCTTATTTTTAAAAAGTACATACTCTGCTAGTCAGGGGGCATGGTGATGAAAGCGGCCTGAGCTCAGCAGTGCACTGGATGGGCAGAATAGCTAGCGTTCTGCAATGGTTAAGCACTTCGCTTTCCTTTTGCTTGCCTCACATTTTGAACGGGATTTGTGGACAGGGTGGCTAAATGGTTTCCCCTTGGGGTTCATTCCAGATCATTAGGGTTTAGTAGAAACCACCCATGGTTAGCTACCCACCTTTGATTGTACAGGTGGAGATTTATACATTCAGTTAATTACAGCTATTCAAAAGCTCAGGAATTTTCTACTTGAAGAGATGTTATTGAGAAACAAATGGGCAAAAGAAAATTCCTTTAGCTTATATTGTATAATGAGAATGGCTTTCCTTTTAAAACTGCTTCGCCTGAAATGAGTTCTGGGTAATATATATTCATGATATCCAAGGGTATAGTTTTCTCTTCTTGCTTGTTGATCCAGTGCTTTCTCATGTTTCTTATGCTGGTAATTTCCCAGATGATATTGAAGGGAGGACAGGAAGGCCAAGATGAAGCAAAATGCAGTGATTCGTGCCAAGACAAATGGTCCCAGCTTGTCTGCTACAAGGAGGGAAGTAGTTATTGTCTGGTAGGATGCATTTGAAGTTCCTTTTGTAGGACTGAGAGAGTTCAATGATGTGACATAGCAAGAGCTTATCACCCCTAAAAGCCACCTGGTTCGTGAGGACACTAGCTGCCAGGCCCGCACTGTGGGGCTAGCCTACTCCTTCCAGTCAGATCCCATCTGGATCACCTTCTAAAAACAAATGAGGACCACTCTTCCATAGGCAGTTCTATCTTTTGATATCTTTTTATGAGGGTAGCTTTTCTAAAAATACGATTTGCTTTTTCAAGAAAGTGTTTGTTTTCATTTCCATTTTTTAAAAGTTCTGTGTCTGGTTTTTGTTTAACACAGCTGAGCATCTCTTGTTTTGAAATGTTTTGTTGACTTGTGTTCTTACTCACTGGTATTAAAATCCTCAGTTGGTATCTTGCATGCAGCTTTTCAATTACATATGGGTAGTATGCTTTAAGAAACTGGTTCTTGTCAGATTGCTTAAATGTTCTTGGTGGGGACATTACATGTGTTTCTTCACTGCATACTGCCTGAATTTCTGAAGAGGGTATTTTCCCATTCGATTGTAGCTTGCTTAAAATTTATTCTACATCCTAGAAATGGGTAATTTGTTTTGTTACATTTGAAAAACAATTTGGGGTGAACCTTATGATAATCTAAATATACAGAGAATGAATAAACATTCTAAAATATTTATGTATATTCTCGAAGAGAAGATGGTTGTTACAGAAATGGTAACAGACACATGGTTCACTTCTTCAGAAATGGCTCCACACCACAAGAACTCGTGTTTGTACCAATAGAGCATATCAGGACCTGAACATATATTAACATTTAGTTTATTTAAAACGTAAGATTTGAAATGTTTTTTCTTTCCATATGAAGGTGATATGTCAGGTGCTTTTTACTTTTGGCCTGCCATATCTTTTCTGTTATTGCCCATGCAAATAATGCTTCAATTAATGTACTTTTTATCAGCTATGGTCTTTTGTTGGCAGTTGGTTAGGCAGTTTTAGATAACAAGTTAAGCCAAACAGTCCTTTATTATCCTTTATAAATAATATTACTATACATTTTCCATGTGGGACCAATATGTCTTTTATACATTTTTATAAGAGTCAGACTTTAGAGAATACTAGAATCGTGTATTTTATTGTTATTATCTGAATGTTGGCAATAATTTATGAGTCTATTTAAAGGATGTAGTCTACTTAAAATAGACTTTTTAATATGTAGCCTATTTAAAACATGTGGCCTATTTAATTGCTAAACTAATATAGCATATGCGTCCTATGGAAGTTTATAAAACTGAGAAATATAGTAGGAGGTATAAAAAATGGAGAGCTACACCATGGAAGGCAAAACTAAACATCATAAAAATGTTAGCTTTTCCAATTTTAATTTCTGTTCTTCGTGTGACTCCACTTGTCAATGACAAAGGAGTGGATATTGAGGACCAAGACAGTCCCCATTGCATTTTGCAGCCCTTTCCAAAATCTTGGCTCTGTAGGAGAATGGAGCAGGTGAAACTGGAGGGGCCAGGAGAGGCTGAGATTCTTTATTGTTTCAGAGATGTGAGAATCTAAAGCATATCTGAATGCTGATGTTTATTGGGACAATATAGAAAAGAGAGAGATTGGTGAGGTGGGCTGAGGTTGGGATAGGTGTCTCTGTTGGAAGAAGGAATATCTCTGAACAGGTATGGATGGATTGGCTTTTGAAAGAAAAAGAGGGTGTGGTGGCTCATGCCTGTAATTCCAGCAGTTTGGGAGGCTGAGGTGTGTGGATCACGAGGTCAGGAGTTCTAGACCAGCCTGGCCAACATAGTGAAACCCCGTCTCTCCTAAAAATACAAAAAATTAGCTGGGCTTAGTGGTGGGTGCCTGTAATCTCAGCCACTCAGGAGGCTGAGGCAGGAGAATCGCTTGAATCCAGGAGAAGAGGTTGCAGTGAGCCAAGATCACACTGTTGTATTGCACTCCAGTCCGGGCGATAGTGCAAGACTTCATCTCAAAAAAAAAAAAAAGACAGAAAGGGAAACTTGAGAGCTTGTATTATTTCTGTGACATATGGGGCTGTGTAGAATGACAGGGTGGATGGGAAGTAAGTATGTTGAAAGTTTAAGAAGAGTACAAAAGGCTTGAAAACAGGCATTTTAAAAAGTGAAAGCCATTTCGCTGGAAAACAATATGATTGCTGGGCAGTGTTGACTATGAATTTATAGCAATATTCTGCCTAGTTTTGTGATGTCCACCCCCCCCACTCCACCCCGCCCACCAGTAACTCTCAGATTTTCTGCAGCTAATCTGGAAAAGCAAGTGGTTGAGTTCAGAGTTTTTAATCCTGATGATCTTGAGGTCATTGATGCCTTCTCCTAACCCTGTAAGGATAAGAATAGACACATTCTCCACCTAAGAAGGCTGCAGCCGAGGCAGTGTGCTCTGGGGCAGTCTGTTTCAGTGAAAGCAAGATGGCAGAGGTGATGTCAGGAGGGAGGTCAAATGCAACCACACTGAGTTAGGTTACTGTGTGGGGCAATTTTCAAAGCTTTCATTGTCTATTCTGATTATTTTGATGTCTTTTAAAAAAATCTGTTTGAAAATGTCTAGCTTTCAGTTGTTTGTGGAAAAGCGAAAAACAAAAATTAATTTTTTTCTTAGAGTGAAACAAAGACATGACGTTTAAGTTCATAATTGGTAAAACAAGATGCATATTTTCGGTAGACAAAAAGGAATTATTACTCTTTCCATGTTTTGTATTCAGAATCCATATTTCAAAGCATAATGTAATCGTGTTGACTTGTATTTCCTACTAATGTAATGTCTCTTCTTTCTTTTTAGGAAATAGTCTAGTAAGCTTAACCTTTCATTTATTTAGTCTTCATGGATTAATTGAGTACTTCCATTTAGATATGATGAAACTTCGTAGATTTTTAGGTAAGTGATTCTAACCCATTAACAGTAACAAGATTTTTTTTTTTTATGGATCAAAATGCCTTCTGCATCAAGGGGAGAGAGGTGGATATTGGAAATCCTGTGGTGCTTCTTATTTTTCTTTTTTTTTTTTTTTTGAAAGGAAGAAAAAGAATTAAAAAAAAAAAGAAAAGAAAAGAAAAAAAATACAGGAAAGGAAGAAAGAGGAAGAGGAAGAGGGAGAGAGAACAGGGGTGTTGCTTTATTGCCCGGGCTAGAATGCAGTCTAAAACTGGGTATGCCTGTAATTGTGTTTAATAATAGAGACATAAAAAAAAATGAGGGAATAAAATAATTAACAAGCAGCCAACCAATATTTCATTTAAACCTGTAAATACGTGTGATGTAGTACTGATAAGAGTGTATATTTTGTGTATTTAAAGTGGAGAGTTCTATGAATGTTAATTAAGTCTACTTGTTCCAGATCTGAGTTCAAGTCCTGGATATCGATGTTAACATTCTGTCTCATTGATCTATCTAATATTGATGTTGAAGTCTCCCGCTATTATTGTGTGGGGGTCCAAGTCTCTTTGTAAGTCTTATATATCTGGGTATTTCTGTATTGGGTGCATATATGTTTAGGATCTTTAGCTCTTCTTGTTACATTGATCCTTTTATCTTTATGTAATATCCTTCTTTGCTTCTTTTGATCTTTATTGGTTTGAAATCTATTTTATCAGCAAAAATTGCAACTCCTGCTTTCTATTTATTTATTTTAGCTCTCCATTTGGTTGGTAAATTTTTCACCATCCCTTTGTTTTGAGTCTTTATGTATCCTTGCATGTGAGATGGATCTGGATGTAGCATACCAATGGTTCTTGGCTTTTTTTGCCTGTCTGTGTCTTTGGATTGGGGGATTTAGTCGATTTAAATTTAAAATTAATAACAATATATGTGTGTTTGATACTGTCATTTAATGTTAGCTGGCTGTTTTGCCCGTTAGTTGATGCAATTTCTTAAATATGTTGATGTTCTTTATTTTTTGGTATTTTTTAGAAAGGCTGATACTAGTTGTTCCTTTCTATTTGTAGTGGTTCTTTCAAAAGCTCTTGTAAAGCAGGCCTGGTGGTGATGAAATCTCTGAGTGCTTGCTTGTTCACAAAAGATTTTATTTTTCCTTCGCTTATGAAGCTTAGTTTGGCTGGATGTAAAATTCTGGGTTGAAAGTTTTTTTCTTTAAGGATGTTGAATACTGGCCCCCACTCTCTTCTGGCTTGTAGGGTTTCTACTGAGAGATCTGCTGTGAGTCTGATAGGCTTCCCTTTATGGGTAACCTGACCTTTCTCTCTGGCTGCCCTCAGTATTTTCTCTTTCATTTCAACCCTGGTGAATCTGGCAATTATGTGCCTTGAGGTTGGCCTTCTTGAGGAATATCTTTGTGGTGTTCTCTGTATTTCCTGGAGTTGAATATTGTCCTGCCTTGCTAGGTTGGGAAAGTTTTCCTGAATAATATCCTGAAGCGTATTTTCCAGCTTGGATTGATTCTCTTCGTCACATTCAGGTACACCTATCAAACGTAGATTAGGTCTTTTCACATAGTCCCATATTTCTTGGAGACTTTGCTCGTTCTTTTTTATCCTTTTTTTCTCTAATCTTGTCTTTTTGTTTTATTTCATGAAGTTGGTCTTCGACCTCTGATATCTTTTCTTCTACTTGATCAATTCGGCTGTTAAAACTTGTGCATAGTTCGCAAAATTCTCGTGTTGTATTTTTCAGCTCCATTAATTCACTTATATTCCTTTCTAAATTGTGTATTCTTGTTAACATTTCGTCAAACCTTTTTTCAAAGTTCTTAGTTTCTTTGCATTGGGTTAGAACAAGTTCTTTTAATTCCCAGAAGTTTCTTATCATCCACTTTTTAAAGCCAGCTTCTGCTAATGGAACACAGTCTTTCTCCATCAGGCCTTGTTCTGTTTCTGATGAGGAACTGTGATCCCCTGTAGAGGGAGAGGCGTTCTGAGTTTGGGTATTCTCAGCCTTTTTAGGCTGTTTTCTTCCCTTCGTTATAAATTTATCCATCTGTGGTCTTTATAATTACCGTCTTTATAGTTGGGTTTCTGAATGGACGTCCAACTTGTTGATTCCCGGCGCTAGAATCTGAGCAACCCACTGCTCCGGCCAAAACAGCGGCTTTAAGATTGATGGTGCTTTTCTGACTCTGCACCAAGAACCGCCACACCAAGGCAGCGGCAAAACCGCCTCACCGGCCTCAAGAGTCACGCTGGCGACAGGTGGGGCTCCTCCGCTGGGAATCTCCTGGTGTGTGGGCAACAAAAATTGATCTGAAAGTGTGGCGTCCTCTTGTTCTCTGCTCTTTCAGTGGGAGCTGCAATCCCGAGCTACTAGTGATCAGCCATCTTGGATCTCTCTCCAACAGTAACAAGATTTAACAAAAAGAATAAAAAACAGTAACAAGATTTATATTTATACAAGAACCTGTTTAAGTTTTATCTCAGTTACATCAGTTAGCTATTGCTCTATAACAAGCCATCCAAAATTCGTAGCTTAAAACAACACACAGTTATTTAGCTCTTACATCTGTGGGGCTGTTGAGTGCTTCTTTTGGTCTGGGTGAGCTCATTTATGCACCTGCAGACAGCAACAGGTAGGCTGAATGTTGGCTTTGCAGTGACCTCAGCTAGGATGCCAGGCCTGACCCATCTCGGCTCTACATGGTCTTCTGTTAAACTTAAAAGAAGCAGAGGAGTTTGGCACCGTGATAGATTTACACTAAAAACAAGAAAGAATTATTTATTTTACAGTCAGCTGAGCTTGTTCAAACAGTAGTGGCAGGTTTCCAAGAGAGAGCTGATAAGCCCAGGCCTCTGGAGCCCTGGGCTCAAAACTGGCCCACCTCCACTTCTGCAGCAAGTGGCCACAGCAGGTCAGATCAGGGATGAGCTGCATCTCTTGGTGCAGAAGCTGCAAAGTCGCAGAGCCATAGATAACAGGGAATAGTGAAGACTTTGCAATCAGTTTCTTAACACTGGCTACAGATTGCTGACAAAGATGACACAATTTCTGTACTTTTCTAAATTTTTGAAGGCTAAAACTTTTAAAAAATGAGGTATATCGCAGTTAGGCTTCTTCTTTTTCTGATCCCTAAAATCTCTTGAGAGTAAGCTTTAAAGATAATTTGAGGCCAGGTGCGGTGGCTCACACCTGTAATCCCAGCACTTTGGGAGGCCGAGGCGGGCAGATCACTTGAAGCCAGGAGTTGGAGACAGCCTGGCCAACATGGTGAAACCCTGTCTCTACTAAAAATACAAAAAAGTAGCCAGGCGTGGTGGCGAGTACCTATAATCCCAGCTACTCTGGAGGCTGAGGCACAAGATATCAACTCTAGTCTTCCTTTGTGTTATGCACCAATTTCTCCTGGTTGGTTCCACCTGAGGAAGGCATTTACGATTCCTGGTAAAGTGTTCGTCCTTTAGGTGGATAGAGGAACTTCAGAGAAAGTCCTCTCCTGCATTTGCTGCTCCAAGTTTGAAGTCCAAAGCAGCATATTTTGGGGTCTCCTTTTCTGAGCCTCAATGTGATATTTCATATAGTACCTAGATCACGAGATAGCTTAATTTGTAATTCATTATTGCTTATGTACAACAAAAAGATTACAACTTGCTGAAGGCTCAAATAATTATTAGCATTTTGTAGCAATAAAGTCTTTTAAATTAAGATGTATACATCGGTTTTTTAAGACATAATGCTATTGTGCAGTCATAGACTATAGTGTAAACATGAGAGCTATGTTTACTGGGAAACCCAAAATTTTGACTTGCTATATTACAGTATTCACTTCATATTAGTGTTCTGGAACTTAACACTCAACACCTCTGTGGTATGACTATACTTAATAGTGAGAGACCATCACGTTGATTTGATATCCTTTTAAAATCTTTCAGTTTCAAGTAGAGAGAAATTACAAATTATTCAGGAAGTAATTTATTTCTGTAGGACAATGATGAAACTTTGGAACTATAAGGGAGTTAAGATGGTGCTAGTGGGGCATTTCATATTTTATGTAGGCTGGGCGTGGTGGCTCACACCTGTAATCCTGGCACTTTGGGAAGCCAAGGCAGATGGATCACATGAGGCCAGGAGTTCGAGATCAGCCTTGCCAACATGGCGAAACCCCATCGCTACTAAAAATATAAAAATTAGTCGGGTGTGGAGGCATGTGCCTCTAATCCCAGCTACTCAGGAGGCCGAGGCAGGAGAATCACTTTAACCTGGGAGGCAGAGGTTGCAGTGATCCAAGATCATACCACTGCACTCCAGCTGGGCAACAGAATGAGACTCTGTCTCAAAACTACATAAATAAATTCATACAACCATTTTTGCTAATCTGTAACTGCTTTGTTTATCTAAGTAGACAGAAGCCTGTGTGACTCTACAGATAATATTTTGTAGTAAATTCTCAAGTTCATAACTAAAATAGTGTGAGTAGCCCCAGTAGCTATACTGGCAATCATAAGCATGCATACCCCCGCTTTGCACATTGTTCTTATGAACACTTGGCTGTTTCTTCCCCCATCCTGTTGCTGCTAATGTGGAAGCCACTAGAACAGGTTTATGAGAAAAGTAAGCCCTAAAACCCTGAAGAATCCATTGGCTACGATGGATTATCTTCTGTGCAGTGTATCTGGAATGGCTTCAGCTCTATACTGTCCTTGGGAGAATTGAGAAAATAGTAACTCAGGTGTTTTTTTTTTGTTTGGTTTTTTGAGACAGGGTCTTGCTGTATTGCTGAGGCTGGAATGCAGTGGCATGATTGTGGCTCACTGCACAACCTCAACCTCCCAAGCTCCAGCTAACCTTCCACCTCATCCAGGCCGAGGTAGGAGAATCGCTTGAACCTGGGAGGCAGAGGTTGCAGTGAGCTGAGATGGTGCCACTACACTCCAGCCTGAGCAACAGAGCGAGACTCTGTCTCAAAAAGCGGGGGAAAAAAGAAGCCTTAATACCAACAGTGTACACCCAGTTGAAGAGCTAGAAATACTAACTCAGACTTGAGACTTGTACTTAGAACTCTGGCTTAAAAAAATATATATATACCAGACTGAGATAAATTTATTACATAGAGTTTTTAAGAAGCTTTTTCTTTTGGAGATAGTCTTGCTCTGTCCCCTAGCAACTCAATGGTCTACAGCCTTGACCTCCCAGGCTCAAGCGATCCTTCCACCTCAGCCTCCTGAGTAGCTAGGACTAACAGTCTGCACCACCACACTGGGCTACATTTTTATTTTTATTTTTAATAGGGACAAGGTCTTGCTAATGGCCTAAGCTGGTCTCAGACTCCTGGCCTTAAGCAATCCTCTGGCCTCGCCCTCCCAAAGTGCTGGAATTACAGGTGTGAGACAGCATACTTGGCCTTGAGGAACATACAGTAGTATGCCTGTAATACTGTACAGTAGTCTCCCTTTATCTCTGGTTTTGCTTTCTGTGGTTTCAGTTAACCCGTGGTCAACTCTAGTCTGAAAATATTAAGTGGAAAATTCCAGAAGCAAGCTATTTATAAGTTTTAAATTGTGCCCCCTTGTAAGCAGAGTGATGAAATCTCATTGCATCCTGATCCATGTTGGTTATCAGATCAGCTGTGTTGGTATCACAGTGCCTGTGTTCATCACCCTTATTTTACTTCATAATGGCCCCAAAACACAAGAGTTGTGATGCTGGCATATTGTTATAATTGTTCTATTTTATTTGGTTATTGTTAATTTTTTCCTATGACTAACTTATAATTTAAGCATTATCATAGGTGTGTTTGTATAGGAAAAACATACATAGGGTTTGGTACTATCTGTGGTTTCAGGCATTCATTGGGGGGTCTTGGAACATATCCCCCCCAAAATATGAGGGGACTACTGTACTAAAATGTAAGTTATAAAACACAATACAGCCGGGCATGGTGGCTGACACCTGTAATTCCAGCACTTTGGGACGCTGAGGTGGGCAGATTACCTGAGGTGAGGAGTTCAAGACCAGCCTGGCCAGCATGGTGGCATCCCATCTTTACAAAATACAAAGAATTAGCTGGGCATGATGGCAGGTGACAGAGCAAGACTCCGTCTCAAAAAAGGAAAAAATAAAAATAAAAAAAAAAACAACACATACAAAAATAGCTTATTAGGAAGGGCATAGTGGCTCACACCTGTAATGCTGGCACTTTGGGAAACCAAGACAGGTAGACTGCTTGAGCCCAGGAGTTCAAAACCAGCCCGGGCAACATGGCAAGATCCTGTCTCTACAAAAAATACAAATAATTAGCCAGGCATGGTAGTGTGCACCTGTGGTTCCAGCCACTTGGAGACTGAGGTGGGAGGATTACTTGAGCCCAGGAGGTCAAGGCTGCAGTGAGCCATGATCGTGTAACTGCACTCCAGCCTGGGCAACAAAGTAAGATCCTGTGTCAAAGAAACAGTATTAACAAGGGTATTGAAAAGCCTCTTTTAAAGGATGGGACAGAAGCAGTGCAGAATTCTGATGGTGTTTCCCACTCACTTGGTGATTGTGTTTCCCCATGACAAGCAGGCTCGCTTCCCTTTGAGACCACTGAATTAGGGTGTTATTCTGCTGGGCTGTCATGTAGGTTTGATGACAGGGGGCACAGCTCACCCTGAAGCCTAGTCTGTTCTTCCATGATAGCACAGAGAGTCAAATTGATATTGATTTTTTGGGTATACATATGAGTTGTGAGGTGATTATCATCTGCCTGAATCTGCACAATTTTAGCTGATAGCTACATGAAAAGTATGAGTGGGTAACTCATAATTATCACAGTTTTTGTACTTGTACATGTTGCTCATATACAATAAAATCAGGATGTTTTTCTTTGATGCAGTTATGATTCAAGAAGATTACCACAGTCAAAATCCTTACCATAACGCAGTCCACGCTGCGGATGTTACTCAGGCCATGCACTGTTACTTAAAGGAACCTAAGGTAAGAGGTTGACATTGATTTCAGCTGAAAATCGTAAGAAAATTCCTTTTGATTTACTTTCAAATACTTCTCCTGAAGCTACTGCCTTGACTCAAAATCATAATCTTCCTTCACAAGAGTGAGATATAGCTCGATCAGTTTCTGAATCTGGCTGTGTTTCAAAGTGCAACAACTAGAGAGTTGGGTGGTTGTTGAGAGAGGCTGGAGAAGCCCAAGCAAGGGCCGGGTCACTTGACACCTTGACTGCTGCAGACACCTGACATTTACATTGAGCTCCACGTGGGTTCCATGTGGGCAGGGACAGCCTTGGTCTGACTCAGTGAAGGAATGGGGAGCTACGGAAGGGAAGCGAGAGACTTGAGAAAATTATCCCAGCTGTGGTGTGAAAATAAATCCTATGAAGACCAAAAGCCTGTACACCTGCCAGGAGTTACTTCAGTGCTCCATGGAGGAGAGCAGAGTGGCCTTGGTGAAGTAGAGAACGTGGATGGTTTGCGAGTTCTCTTGGGAATTAGAATGAACAGAATGTGGTGTGTGAATGCGTTTAGGGGAAAGAAACCTAAGTCAGTGAAGACATGGTTTGGGCAGTTAGTAGAAGGTAGAAGTCTTCCATGAGAGGAGGAATGTAGAGAGGAACAAGTTTTAGGGGTAAGGCTTGTAGAGACAGTGAGCACCATTTTGGATCCATGGAGTTTAATGTATTTGACATCGAGAGTTACATAAAAGAGTCCGAAGTATAGGAGAGAAATCAGACTATATGTATAGATTTGGGACATTTTCTATCCCTGGCAGTTCTGCAATTATGTCTGCTTACCCCATCCCTACTTAAAAACTGCTCTCTCCCTAGATCTTAGTTCTGGCTAAGGTGTTAGGCAGGAAACCAAACTGGCTTGTGTCATTGATGCTAACTTAAGAACACAGCCAATCTTCTGATTATTTAAGAGATCATAGAATATATGAAAATGCCCAGTTTTTTTTCTTAGTATATGTATCATGACTTTTAAAAAAAATTGACTTTATTGTGGCGGAACTTAGATGCAGTAATACAGTGCATACATTTTATGTGTGCAGTTTTGACAAATGTATACTCCCAGCCACCCCAACTGTTTTTTTCCTAAGAGACAGGATTTCACAGTGTTGCCCAGGCTGAAGGGCAGTAGTGTGATCACGGCTCATTGCAGCCTCGACCTCCTGGGCTCAAGCTGGAGACCAGCTAATTTTTAAAATTTTTTGTAGAGACAGGGTCTCACTCTATTGCCCATCCCAATTTTTTTAATTAAAGTTTTAAAAAACTCTGGGCCAAGACTGCAACCTCTGTTTGAGAATGTTGTGGGAGAAATTGATAAGTAATGACCTTACATACAGTCTGGTAAGTGGAAAGATGGTGATAAGTTCTCTGCAGCACACAGGAGGGTTAACCCGGTTAGTGAAGGCTTCTGCACTCCTGTCTCCCTCTGGGCACACCCAACCCGAGCCAGGGGCAAGGAAACCTGGGTAATGCCAGGTGAGCAGGGCAGGGATGCACATGGACAAAAATGAATAAAAACACGATTTTGAACACTTCTTGCCTGTGGAGTTCTGATAATACTTAAAACACTTTTCATCTTTAACATACTCGATGAACACTTTACCAAAGGCTTCAGTTAAGGATATAGATACAATCACAAAGCCCTACAATGCAAGTATTTCCCTTCTCCCTTATAGTGAATGTTTTTAAATGGAGTCACCCAGGGCCGGGCACAGTGACTCATGCCTGTAATCTTAGCACTTTGGGAGGCCAAGGCAGGTGGCTTGCTTAAGCCCAGAGTTTGAGAGCAGCCTGGGCAACATAGCAAGATCTTGTCTCTTTTATTCAAAAAAAGAAAAAAAACCAGAGTCACTCAAAGTTTTAAAAGCAAATTCTAAAAAATTTGAAGTAGGTTCAGGTACAGTGGCTCATGCCTGTAATCCCAGTACTTTGGGAGGCCAGGAAGAGGATCACTTGAAGCCAGTAGTTTGAGACCAACCTGGGCAATATAGCAAGACTCCACATCTACAAAAGATAAAACGTTAGACGGGCATAGTGGTGTGCACCTGTGGTCCCAGCTACTTAGGAGGCTGACTCAGGTGGATCACTTGAACCTGGGAGGTCCAGTAGAGAGTCATGATAGTGCCACTGCACTGCAGCCTGGGTAATGGAGCAACATGCTATTGATCAATTGATTGATCGATAGATAAGATTAGGTAGATGCCTGAAGATTGTATCTCTGTTACTTCCTGAGCCTTCACATAGCATCACATTTTTTATACTCTGAGCATCTGCCACATGCCAGGCTCTATCCTGGTGCTAGGAACATAGTGGTGAGCAGGACAGCAATGGTCCCTGCTTTCATGAAGTGTACATCCTAGTGGGGGAGGGACAGTCATTAAACAAATGGATAAATTGAATTTGATCAAAATAATGTGCTAATGTGTGGTGGCTCACACCTGTAACCCCAGCATTTTGGAAGGCCGAGGCTGGTGGAGCACCTGAGGTCAGGAGTTTGTGATCAGCGTGGCCAACATGGTGAAACCCCGTCTCTACTAAAAATACTAAAATCAGCTGGGCGTTGTGATGCCTATACTTAAACTAAGTCTGGATAAGAATTACAGTTACACGTTCCAGAGATAAAGCCACTAACACTGAACCTTTAAGCCTTGCTCTACTTGTGCCTGGCAGTTGAAAAAAGAGCCGGGCCCCCCACACCCCTCCCTGGCTCCCACATCCTTCCCTTTGATGTCAGCGAGATTGGTGATGGTCGAGTTGCCTTTCTTGTGGATATACACTTACTCATGCTCCAAGTAGATGCTAATCGCTAGTGAAAAAAGATATGAGTAAGATGAATTTTGGCCCCTGGAATCTTACTTGGGAAACATATGGGATGCGTGATGATGCATGTCTCTACTCCCAATTACTTGGGAGGCTGAGGCAGGAGAATCGCTTGAACCCAGGAGGCAGAGTTTGCGGTGAGCCAAGATGGTGCCACTGCACTCCAGCCTGGGCAACAGAATGAGACTCTCAAAAGAAAAAAAAGTGTGCAACCTAGATCCCTCACATGCGCAGTTTACGATAGGGTTTGTGCTCTTGTGAGAATCTACTGCTTCCAAGGCAGAGCTCAGGTAGTGATGCATGCTGGCCGGCAGCTCACTTCCTGCTGTGCGCCTGATTCCTATTAGGTTCCTAACAGGCCACAGACCAGTACCAGTCTACAGCCTGGGAGTTGAGGAGCCCTGCTTTTACATATCCTAAAGAGGAAATAATTTTCTTTACCATCTTCTCCTTTTCATTGACCTTCTCCATGTACTAATTATATGTGATACAAAAATAAATAATATGCATCCCTGCCTTCAGGTAGCTAGCAGTTTTCCAGGAGATTCAGGCCCTCAGATAGTGATTTCTCTGACTGAGATGAATGTAACACAAGGAGTAGAAAGAGATGACTGATTCATTCTAGCAGAAAAAGAAAATAATAGAATTTGAATCTATTAGTTCAGTATAATAATTTATAAGTAAACATACTTAGTGGTGTACACTCAAAAGTTTTCACTGTTAGAGCATAGGATCATTACAGTTTAGTCAGCACTGTCCTAATGTAAACCTAAATAATAATAATATTCTGATGAGTGTTATTGTGGCAGGCCGTGAGGTGATGTGGGAACACAAATCTGGCCAAGTTTGCCAGAAAATGAGAGGCGATTCATGTAAAGTAGGTGATATATTCAAGATGATCATTTTATCCTTGAACATTTGTTAGCTAATCATAAACTTATTTATTGTGATTATTATAGCAAATAAGTTTGGTAATGATTATTGAGAGTAAAGTTACAATATCTGGTGTGCAAGATTGCTTTCCCTGACATGAATACATTGTGTCTTTGTTCTGAATGTACCCATCCACTGGGGGAGGATTTTATCACAGACTTGACACAGACTTCCACTTAACATGATTACTCAGTAGACTCCTTGAACATCAGCACTACAGGAATAACCTTACATTTTAGATTACATTCTTGAAATCCAGTAACCAATTTGTTGAGAAATAAATACCCTTAAAATTTTAGGTCTTCTGTTCAGTAATGGCTATAGTAATAAAAATGTGCCAACCTGTGTTTGTCATTTTAAAGCCATTATTTCTCAAAAAGAATGGTGTATGCTTTAGCTGCCATTTTAATTAAGCTTGTTAAAAATGAAATGGCCTAAGGATGAGCTCTGTAAATTCCACGTGGGCAGGGCCACTGTTGTATCATGCCTGCGCCAGTGTGGTGATGAGGCCAGGGCCTGTCAGATGTGCTTGGTGGCCCTAATGAACAGCCACCTGAAGAATGAGGTGAAGTGGGAGGAGATTGCCACCACTGCCATTGGCTGCTAATTCAAAACTACTGTGATGGCATAGGGCTTATTTTAGATATATCTGTGATTCATTATCCTTTTGTCACACTTCAGCTTGCCAGTTCTGTAACTCCTTGGGATATCTTGCTGAGCTTAATTGCAGCTGCCACTCATGATCTGGATCATCCAGGTGTTAATCAACCTTTCCTTATTAAAACTAACCATTACTTGGCAACTTTATACAAGGTTAGTGCAATTTTATCATCAAAATTTATTATGTTTGCATTCTAGAAAATGTTTTATATTTTGAAGAAATGAAAGTAGTGAAAATAAATTCTCAGTGGATGTGGAGAGTTTTAACCAGATGTTACTCACAGTATTGTTAGTAATGATATGTCCAGAAAGAGACGTATCATTAAATAACTCAGAAACATCCTTTGTTGTAGAATACCTCAGTACTGGAAAATCACCACTGGAGATCTGCAGTGGGCTTATTGAGAGAATCAGGCTTATTCTCACATCTGCCATTAGAAAGCAGGTAGGTTGGATTAAGACACATTTGTTATTGGTTATAGAAGTTAAGCTGGCAAAGTAATTTTATAAAGTTTTAAAAATTGTTATGTTCAGGTATTCTGCAGTTTTCAGTTTTTGTTAAATTTCATGAATTAGATACAGTTTTAATAATTTAGGCCTATCCTGTTACACAGTCGGTAACATTTTAATGGATGGTTATTTTTATGAATGACTATCCCATGGATTTGAATACTATAAAATTTATCCAAATACACAATGGCTCAGCCATAGTTTACCACTTATTTACATAAATAAATATTACATATTTCCATACTTAGCTGAATAAAACCTTAAGGTCTAGGTATAAAGGTAAATTGGATGGAATGTAAACATTCTGTTGTATTAAATAGATTCATTAAAATCTGTTCTCCGAAGTTTTCAAAACTGACAAAGTAAAGAGAAGTGCCTTATATCCTCAAGAGCGTAATTCTGGAGTCACACTTCTGGAGCTATAAGACACAATAATGAATGAAAAAAAACCTAATATTTTAGAATAAAAATAACAATGTTAAGTGGGCTAGGTTCTATATAGGTTCATTAATGTGAATAAGGCTAACATGATGGTGATAGTTTATAAAATCTCACATCATTGCCATAGTGTGGTCCTCACACAAGCTTTTTAGTAATGTCGCGCTGAGGGAAAATGCACGTCAGAAAACCATGAAAGTGGATCGAAGCTATCCACGTCAAGAAAAGTGGTGAGGCATAAAAAATATGTTTGAGTATTAAAATTTAAGTTACACTCACTGTTCTATGGTTTCCCTTTCATAACTTTAGACAGCTTTTTAAAAACTAAGTGTTTTGTGTAATGACCGTGAGAAAAAAGCTGGACTTTATTTTTTATTTTTTTAAATCTTTATTCACGGATACCATTTGGAGTATGACAATACTTCTGGTAAGTAAAATCATTTCTTGCTGTAGTACAAATACGAAAATTGCTTAAACACACTGTGTTTATATATGTAAATTACGGGTTCTTAAAATTAAGACAGATTAAAATGTTTGCTTTTGATTTCCTTTTTAAAAATCATGTTTTTCATTTGATGATTAACCCTGTTGAGTTCTCAGATTTAATAAAAATGGAAATAAGGAATACTGCCTAATAGCATTATTTAATGTTTTCTTCATTTAGGGTTTGTTTTATGTAACATTCAATATTGTAAGTCTTTTAATCTATTTGACAGCTCTTAATTGATCAATATACAGAGATAGTGTTTCCTATGACCCATTAAAACAAAAGGCAAGATTTTTTTTTAAATGTGTATTTCTCTTGTTAATTGACTTGAGGCAGTTTTATAAATGATATATGTATTTGCTGTGTCTATTAACATGTTACCTTTTTCCTTCCAGAAAAGTTGGAAATTCATTTACAGATAACTGATTGGTTCTTGAGTTTAACCTTGAAAACACAGTTGAATCTAAACTTTATTAAATTGCTCTGGGGAATTGCAACAGTCATCTTAGTCAATGTCTGTATGAGTCAGCTGTTGAATGGGCCATTAGTCCTTCCATCTGAATCTTCCTTCTGCCTTTAGATCTTAGGCGCCAAAAGAAACCAAAGTTGTTTACCCTCAGCATGAGAATTTTTCAGCAGAGAATCCCAGCAAGGAATTTTCTAAAACAACATACCAATGTTGATTTTTTTTTTTCAAAGCAAATAATCCTACCTTGGATGGCAAAATAAAGGCTCTCCTTTTGAAATGTTTGCATGTCGGTATTTTCCTACAAACTCCCTTGATTTTAGCTTTGGTTATCTTAATAGTTTTTGGTTTTTTTTTTTTTAAGCATTCTATAAAACTTTTTTTTGTGATAAATTTTAGGTTGAATGATAGTTGGATATTTTAGAGTTCTATAAAGCCTTCTGATTATTACAGTTAAGAAAAAAAAATCAAGAAGTGAATATTTAAAGTCTTATATTTTCTCTTTATATTTCTCTAATTCCAGGCAACAAATGGAGACACAGATAGGTGCTCTGATACTAGCCACAGACATCAGTCGCCAGAATGAGTATCTGTCTTTGTTTAGGTCCCATTTGGATAGAGGTGATTTATGCCTAGAAGACACTAGACATAGACATTTGGTTTTACAGGTAAAATGGGGCTTGGAAACATTCTATTTATAGGATAAATTATGTGACCGTTAAACTAAAAAATGACATATTCTAGAATGGTTAAATGTTGAGGGCAGGAAGAGGAATTTCCTTCAATTAGCACACAATCCTTCCAGAAGGAGATCACTGGTGAATCTGCCACCTACAAAGGCATCATCACTTACGTGTTTTTCATACTCAAGATTTCTGATGAAAACAGATTAGGGTACCAATGAAGAAATAGCAGTTTATTCTCATAAATTCTTACATCTGAAAATAGGAGGGAACATTATATTTCTGGCTTATTTATATTTTATGGTTAATCCAATCCACACACTTGGTTCTTTGGTATTGTCAAATGTATATATCTTAAAACAATATTAACGTTTCGTTTGCCAGATGGCTTTGAAATGTGCTGATATCTGTAACCCATGTCGGACCTGGGAATTAAGCAAGCAGTGGAGTGAAAAAGTAACGGAGGAATTCTTCCATCAAGGCAAGTTACAGTATTGAGTGATAATCTATCCAATTCATTTTTTAACATCATAAGAATAAAATAACTCAATAATTTATACAAGTCTAGCAGTGAAGTCTTGATATTTTTAGTGACAATTCATAATAGATATACATATAATCAATACTCTACAAATTGAGCATCTATTTTGAAAATTAGAAGTCCTCTTTTAGAATGATCAGATGTATTTATGCATTTATGAATATAGATAGATTAGGTTTGGAATTTTGCTGTACAGAAAGATTTCCCTGAACTTGCTTTATTCTTGTCATGTGTGGAGGGCCATATGAACATGTAAAACTTTTGTGTAATTTAAAGCCTGGTTTAAATGTTAGAAAACTTTCACTAGGTGTTACCCCAAGAATGTAATTTATAACTCCAATAATTTATAAATATTAGTGTTATAAATTACATTCTTGGGGTAACACCTAGTGAAAGTTTTCTACCTTTTGCATTTAAATAAAAATATCAGTTTGGCAATTTCTTCTGTGTGTGAATAACTTAAAATTTTAAAAAGAACTAATTGTGAAGCTGTCCTCTCATGAGGATCAAGTATGTTTTTCCCAAGAAATTGCAGAGGTATGTTGAAGTCTTTAAATACATATTTAACCAATAGATATTCTTCATATTAATACTTGTCTTTTTTTTATTGCATAGGAGATATAGAAAAAAAGTATCATTTGGGTGTGAGTCCACTTTGTGATCGTCACACTGAATCTATTGCCAACATCCAGATTGGTAACTATCCATATTTTGATATAGTGGGTTAGAAAAATGCCACTGATTTTAATTTTATCAAGAAGGGAAATGTATTTGAAATATAAAAATATTAAAATTATGCTCATTTCTGTTTTTTAAAATAATTTAAGAAATTTTACCCTTTTTTCCTTGTTACTGCTCTTCTAATTTATTCTTATTTCATTTTAGGATGTAAAAAGCATATTTTTGCAGAATAGGCCGTAGCAATAACTTGTTTCTGTTCTTATGTAAATAAAAATCCATTATTTGCCCATGTAGAAACTTTTTTTGCATAAAAGTCAAGATAGCCATTTAAAAATGGATAGGTAAAGAAATAACAAAAATAAATAAATAAATAAAATAAGAATGGATAGGTGACCCACTGAGCCTTATCGTAATACAAAGACTAGCTTCAGCCACTGCGTTTCTGGACTCTTACCACTGCCTGTTGATTAAATCTGACTCTTCGACATCTTAGACAGGCCCTTATAATCTAGCTTCAAATGCTCGGCAGCCATCTTGCCTCAACTTCCCTCTTATTTGCCTACAGTAGCTCAGGACACTTCTGTGTTTCCCACGTCCACACTGTTCTTTTGCTCTCTGTGCCTCCCCAGTCCTTTCCATGTGCTTCATAGAGTTATTTTTCTTGAAGAGCCAGCTCAAAAGTCACCTCAGAAGCTGCTCTCCACTTGCCTCAGGCAGAGTCAGTCACTTCTTCAGATTCCAAAGCACCTGATACACTTGGTTGTGTATTCCTGGAGCCTAGCACCACACTGGAAGCAGGAGGCCCTTGAGAACTGTGTATTGAGTGAATAAATAACTAATATTACAGAAAGCATAATGAAAATGTCCTGTGACTGAAGTATGTGTAGCTTGTTACAGAGGAGCACAGGGAAAATTGACTAGAATTGAGCAAAGGGCAGTAGTTCAACAAGGAATTGAGGGAGGAGTGTAATTTGGTAGCTGGTGGGGAGGGCTTTTGAGAATCAGACTGAACACAGTGAAGTATGTGTCCAAACTTCAGAAAGATGAGGTTTCCAGAAACTCGGAAGGTAGCACAATATATGGCATCACACTCAGAAAGACCATGCCATAGGGCCAGAAATTCAGAGACGTAATTCTTACATTATGATTGCAGTGGATACTCGTGGAAAAAAGTGGGTAGTGGCCGATTTGACCTCAGAAGGACAGATAGAGAAGGGAAGAGCGTGCAGAAGTGTGGCCTAGACTTTAGGAGTATGAGGGATGTCGAATCTCCCAGAGAGCTCAGACTGGCCAGGAATGCTGAGGGTAGCAGAAGCTTTTCTTTTGGAAGGTTAGTGAAACAATTTAGAACCAGATCTGCTTTGTCTTGATTTTCAAGTAGAATAATCTTCAAATGCAAAAGAATATATCAGAAATGGACAAAAGTGGCCAGGCATGGTGGCTCACGCCTGTAGTCCTAGCACTTGGGAGGCCAAGGCGGGTGGATCACTTGAGGTCAGGAGTTCAAGACCACCCTGGCCAATATAGCAAAACCCCCATCTCTACTGAAAATACAAAAATTAGGTCGGGCATGGTGGCTCAAGCCTAGAATCTCAGCACTTTGGGAGGCTGAGGCGGGTGGATCACCTAAGGTCAGGAGTTCAAGACCAGCCTGGCCAAAATGGTGAAACCTCATCTCTACTAAAAATACAAAAATTAACCAGGCATGGTGGCCCATGTCTGTAATCCAGCTACTCGGGAGGCTAAGGCAGGAGAATTGCTTGAAGCCATGAGGCAGAGGTTGCATGTGCCACTGTACTCCAGCCTGGGTGGCAGAGTGAGACTCCATCTCAAAAAAAAAAAAAAAAAAAAAAAACTGGGCATGTTGGCTACTCAGCAGGCTAAGGTAAGAGAATCACTGGAACCCGGGAGGCAGAGGTTGTACTGAGCTGACATCACGTCACTGCATTCCAGCCTGGGCAACAGAGTGAAACTACATCACTCCATCTCAAAAAAAAAAAAAGGACAAAAGAGAATTGAATTGAAGACAGGTATGAATAGGTAGTCAACTCAGTTACTTTAAATATTAAATGTCTTTTCTTCTGAGTAAATTACTCCCTTGCTTATTGGGAGAACTTGCAAATGAGATTTAAAACATGGCAATTTTTATAAGATAGCAGAAGCTAAAACCCTTTCACTATTCATCTTAAGCTATTGATCTTGTCGATGTTGTACAGATCTAAAATGAGTTGTCAGGGATAAGGTCACTGATCTGATGGTGATTATTGACATCTGCTGACTCCACACAGCAACCCTAGAGGACAGGCGCTTTGAGCATCCCCATTTTCAGATGGTTTGCTCACTTCATGCAGTTAACAGGTGTTGGTGTTGGGCTTCAAATCCAGGTCTTTCTGACATCAAATCCCAGCTTCTTAACCACTCACCAAGAAGTGATTACTACTTCCCAGCATAGGGGCAGTATGTACAAGTCATGTTGAACTAATACAGTTTCACTAATACAGTTTCCTTCTTTGATAAGGAATACTAATTTTGTTGAACAAGAAAGTATCATGTACTGGATTAAGAGTAAGGCATTTGACCAGGCATCCTGTGAAGTCTGTGAAGAGAAAGTAGAGGCTTGTGGGGCTAGGACAATTAAATGGATTCACAAATGGCTGAACAGCTGTGTGTAAGGTACTCATTAATAGAGTCCTGCCCTCTGAGAGAGAGGCTGTGTCCATGGCTCTGGCCTGTTCATTTTTATCAGGTATTTAAGACCTAAAAGAAAGTTCAGGTTAACATAGAGCCAGAAGTGATAGCTAATTGGCTGTTGGAGGTAAGATCCCCAAGGATCTCAACCAGTTGGAACAGTGAAGGGGATGAAATAAGATGAATGGTGTGCAACCTATAATAATTAGGGCCTGCATGTGGGTACACAACTCCAGTGGCTCATGACCTTATGGCACGTAGGAAAGACAGGGCTTTGGGTGACTGGCTCAACATGACACAGTGGCTTGAGGATGGCTGCCAGAAAGTTGCTATGTGCTTTGTAATCACAGTTTTCTATGTTTGTTATCTCTTTCTCCTTACCAGAACATAAGCTCCTTGAGGGCAGGGGTCAGGTCTGTCTTACTGCTGTATACCCAGACACTCAGGCACAATGCCGGGCACATAGTAGGTTCTCAGTAAATATGTGTAGAGGGAATGGATCAGTGAAAGAAAGAAAGCCTTATTGCACATATCATAATTACTATTTCAGACACTATAATTATGTACACTTCAAAAAATTCAGCCATCAGACCATACATGACTTTCCTGATTAAAAGTAGTGGATGCTAATTGCTTTATTTCTGATGAGATTCTTATGTTGGATAAATGGAACCTATGTTGTCTGTGGTCCACATGGTATTTTGCTGCAATGAGAGTCTTGGATATGAAGAAAATTTTAAAGCAGTGGTAGAATCTGAATGTATATTTTCCCCATTCTTAATAGATCAAAACGTGAAAAAGGTGTTACTTGTTCCCAATACATAATATGATTTGATTGGTAGCTATTTTCTAGAGGGCTTCTTGTGACCCTGTGTAAGGTGCTATTTAGTATTAAGTCAGATCTAATGTGCAGTGGAGTGCTGGCCTGTATAACCTAAAGATGCAAACAATCCTGAAATCATTTTCCTTTTCAGACAGTGAATTAAGGGAGTTTATAGGAATTGTTTATAAAATAGGTCTCTGGTACACATTTGGTGTTCACGTTAATGATTTTTTCACCAACCTCACCTGTTATTTTTAGAGCGACTTTTTTTTTTTTTTTTTTTTTTTTGACATAATTTTTTTTTGTTTCCCCCGGCTGGGGTGCAATAGTGTAATTTTCGCTCACCACAGCCTCTACCTCCCAGGTTCAAGCAATTCTCCTGCCTCAGCCTCCAGAGTGGCTGGGATTACAGAAACACACCACCATGCCTGGCTAATTTTTTATATTTTTAGTAGAGACGGGGTTTCACCATGCTGGCCAGGCTGGTCTCAAACTCCTGACCTTGTGATCCGCCTGCCCTAGCCTCCCAAAGTGCTGGGATTACAGGCGTGAGCCACTGCTCCTGGCCTAGAGTGAGTCTTATCGTAAGGTTTTGCTTTATAAATTCTGAGTTAAATAAAATGACCAATTGTAATCATGATCAGGCATCAAGATTCCATCCCTGAGAGGTAAAGCAGTAGACTACCACCAGCTCCACTTCAGTTCAGGCCCCGTCACCCACAGTCCTGGAGGAGACCCCTTCTTAGCCTCCAGTTGTTACACTGCAGCTCTGCCTCAAGTGGGGTTATGCCCGCCCTGGTATCCTCAGAGTTGATATGGCAGTGTATGTTTGCTTAAGTAGAAGAATGTAATTGTGCCACTGAGAATGGTAACGGGAAAAGATTTGATATGTTTATCAGTTCACTTTTACTTAAGGTTCCATTGAGTTACTTAAGAAATCAGTTCTTCAAAGCAGATACGTACATTACAGACCCTGTCACCTACACACACACAGGAATCTTTTGAAAAATAAGATTTAGGTAATGCTGGAGTAGGACATAGGAAGGTTAATTCACACTATATAGATGTTGTTTTAAAGATAGAGTTTCAGCACATATGCTAATAACTTTTTCTCCTATTTATTTTCTCAAGGTTTTATGACTTACTTAGTGGAGCCTTTATTTACAGAATGGGCCAGATTTTCCGATACAAGGCTATCCCAGACAATGCTTGGACATGTGGGGCTGAATAAAGCCAGCTGGAAGGGACTGCAGAGAGAACAGTCCAGCAGTGAGGACACTGATGCTGCATTTGAGTCGAACTCACAGTTATTACCTCAGGAAAATCGGTTATCATAACCCCCAGAACCAGTGTGACAAACTGCCTCCTGGAGGTTTTTAGAAATGTGAAAAGGGGTCTTGAGGTGAGAAAACTTACTCTTGACTGCCAAGGTTTCCAAGTGAGTGATGCCAGCCAGCATTATTTATTTCCAAGATTTCCTCTTTTGGATCATTTGAACCCACTTATTAATTATAAGACCTGAACATACAGCAATATGAATTTGGCTTTCATGTGAAACCTTGAATATGCCAAGCCCAGCAGGAGAGAATCCGAAAGGAGTAACAAAGGAAGTTTTGAGGTGTGCCGCGACTTTTTCAAAGCATCTAATCTTCAAAACGTGAAACTTGAATTGTTCAACAACAATCTCTTGGAATTTAACCAGTCTGATGCAACAGTGTGTATCTTGTACCTTCCACTAAGTTCTCTCTGAGAAAATGGAAATGTGAAGTGCCCAGTCTCTGCTGCCTCTGGCAAGACAATGTTTACAAATCAACTCTGAAAATATCGGTTCTAAATTGCCTTGGAGCATGATTGTGAAGGAACCACTAAAACAAATTTAAAGATCAAACTTTAGACTGCAGCTCTTTCCCCCTGGTTTGCCTTTTTTCTTCTTTGGATGCCACCAAAACCTCCCATTTGCTATAGTTTTATTTTGTGCACTGGAAACTGAGCATTTATCATAGAGTACTGCCAAGCTTTCACTCCAGTGCTGTTTGGCAATGCAATTTTTTTTTAACAATTAGTTTTTAATTTGGGGCGGGGAGGGGAAGAACACCAATGTCCTAGCTGTATTATGATCCTGCAGTGAAGACATTGCATGTTGTTTTCACTACTGTACACTTGACCTGCACATGCAAGAAAAAGGTGGAATGTTTAAAACACCATAATCAGCTCAGGGTATTTGCCAATCTGAAATAAAAGTGGGATGGGGAAGTGTGTCCTTCAGATCAAGGGTACTAAAGTCCCTTTCGCTGCAGTGAGTGAGAGGTATGTTGTGTGTGAATGTATGGATGTGTGTTTGCGTGCATGTTTGTGCATGTGTGACTGTGCATGTTATGTTTCTCCATGTGGGAAAAGATTGAAATGTAAGCTTTTATTTATTATTTTAGAATGTGACATGTGAGCAGCCACACTTGGGGGAGGGGAAGGTCGGTAGGTAAGCTGTAACAGATTGCTCCAGTTGCCTTAAACTATGCACAAAGCTAAGTGACCAAACTTCTCGTTTTGATTTGAAAAAAAGTGCATTGTTTTCTTGTCCCTCCCTTTGATGAAACGTTACCCTTTGACGGGCCTTTTGATGTGAACAGATGTTTTCTAGGACAAACTATAAGGACTAATTTTAAACTTCAAACATTCCACTTTTGTAATTTGTTTTAAATTGTTTTATGTATGGTAAGCACAACTGTAATCTAGTTTTAAGAGAAACCGGTGCTTTCTTTTAGTTCATTTGTAATTCCCTTGTTACTGTAAAAGACTGTTTATTAATTATGTTTACAGTTTGTTGCAACAGCCATTTTCTTGGGAGAAAGCTTGAGTGTAAAGCCATTTGTAAAAGGCTTTGCCATACTCATTTTAATATGTGCCTGTTGCTGTTAACTTTTGATGAATAAAAACCTATCTTTTCACATTTATCTTTGATATTTACCTTATAACTCAATCCTCTGGAAAACACAATGCTAAATTACAAGGATGTCAAAGTTAGCTTCTTGGCTCTTGCACTCACTCCTCAGACGTTTACTCAGTCCGAGCTTCTCTGCTATCGTCTCACCTTGCAAGAGAGTAAGTTGAAGCCCAGTTAGGGTGGAGTCTTGACTAACACAGGGGAGAGGTCAGCTTTGAACCAGGCCTTTTGTTCCCACAATGGTGAACTGCATTAGACATCAGCAACTGTTGCAAGTACTAAAATACTACTTGTACTTATTTCTATCAGTCATTGGCCTTTTTAAAGTAATAAGAAAAGGCCACTCCATTCTACTTGATTGATATCAATGCAAGAAAGGTACCTCTTTGCCGTTCCTATATCTTCCCAGATCCAATTCATTAGAAGGGATATGGTGCAAGCTTATGTCAAACACATTAACATATTACTTGTACAGAAGAGTGATGATGTCCAACAGAAACAGAATGCAAGCCACATAATTTTCAGCTTTCTAGTAGCCACATTTAGAAAACATGGAATTAATTTTAGTAACATCTTATTCCAATACATCCAAAATATTGTATCATTTTAAAATGTTAATATAAAAACAATGAGATGTTTTACATTCTTTTTGGGGGTACTAAGTCTTTGAAATCCAGTGTATATTATGTACTTATAGCACATCTCAATTTGTTTGGACTAGTCATATCTCAGGCACCCAATATTCACATGTGGCTAGTGGCTACTATGTTGGACAGTGTGGGCATAGAGGTCTGAGGGTAGTAGACTAATATGGTCAACTGGTCACTCTTGTGAGATGGCCAGACCTTGGCCAATATTTATTGTGTACAGAAAGTCTGATAAACTAATACGTACTTAAAAACTCAGGCCCAGTGTTTCAGTACATAGAGAGTGGAACTATCATGGCAAACCCACATTAATCAAGCTTATAGTAACTGATACTCAATATTTCAATTTACAATGAGAAATGTAACTATCAATTATTCTCTCCCTTTAGGCAAATCTTCTGGGAAGCCAGATTATGATCAGCTGGTGAACATGGATTCTCAGCAAGGGAAGCAAGTTGCCTCGTGCACCCATGTCCCTTTGTGGATATATCTGCTGTGATATTCATGTTTGTGGACCAGGGTGCCCTCTTTCCCTGGAAGGTGCCAGAGATTCTCTGCCAGTAGTTGTTTCTCCACATCAGCTTCTGATTGGAACATCCATTAGATACGTCATTACCTCCAGCCTTGTTTCAGTTGAGCTCACCTGGGCTCCATTCTGCCTATATACATATGATTGCTTCTGCTCTGCTCCATTGTTTCTTACAGTTTAAAACTCAAGAATTCCACATTCTCAGGGGAACCCTAGGTGTTGCTCCCATTTCCTGCCTACACATATAATAAACCATTGAAAAGTTATGTTTTATTATGTATATGTGGGAATCACCTTCTACAGCTTTTTTTTTTTTTTTTTTTTTTTTTTGGAAACAGGGTCTTGCTGTTGACTAGGCTAGAGTGCAATGGTATGATCACTGCAGCCTCCACCTCCTGAGCTCAAGCGATCCTCCTACCTCAGCCTCCTGAGTGCCACAACACCCAGCTGATTTTTAAAAAACATTTGTGTGGCTGGGCACAGTGGCTTACACCTGCAATCCCAGCACTTTGGGAGGCTGAGGCAGGTGGATCACCTGAGGTCAGGAGTTCAAGACCAGCCTGGCTAACATGGTGAAACCCTGTCTCTACTAAAAATACAAAAATGAGCCAGGCATGGTGGCGGGGACCTGTAATCCCAGCTACTCAGGAGGCTGAGGCAGGAGAATTGCTTGAACCCTGGTGGCAGACGTTGCAGTGAGCTGAGATCATGCTACTGCACTCTAGCCTGGACGACAGAGTGAGACTCCATTTAAAAAAATAAACTTTTGTAGAGGCAGGGTCCCACTTTGTTGGCTTGACTGGTCTTGAACTCTTGGGCTCAAACAATCCTGCCACCGTGGCCTCCCAAAGTGCTGGGATTACAGGTGTGAGACACTGCATCCAGTCTATAGCCCCACTTCTTAAATAAGACCTGTATTGGAATGTTGATTTTTTTTTTCTAGAAAGTTTTTGGGAAACAGTTAATTTAAAAGATCACTTTTTTTAAAAAGCAAGTAAATATTACAGAACAGAATGCAAAATTCACATGGGAGATGACTAAAAACAATTGTCACCCTTTGGGTCTCTTGGCTCAACATTTTAGGGGCTGAGGGAGTCTCTGCTCTAGGACTAAAAGGTCCTTGGAGAGAAAATTTTGACAAGTCCTAACTGTAAAAAATAAAAATTGGTTCTTGGTCAATATTTGTACTCACTATAAATGTGGTGGTTTGTAATGATCCTCTTTGTATAAAACTGAAAGTCGTATTTTATGTCTTTTGCAAACTTGGGAAATATATTTGTACCTGAGGTACAGATTAGAGGTGCTAGTAATTCCTTAAAGAGTCTGAAAACAGTCTCTTTTTCCAAAATGCTTTCTTGGTTTCTATTAAACTTTCTATTTTCTTAAAGCTTTTACATCAGATATTTCCAATGTTTTCAAGCATGTATAAATATTTTAATGTATAAATTCTGTTTAAAATCCCCTCAATTGGTATCTCCTGACTGAGAAGATCACAGTGACCAATAGCTAATAGGAATTCAGTATTGTTTTCAAAGAAATGTGCATATTAATCACTGTAGCATTGGCATACATTTGAAACACGGAGTAATACAGATCTGTGCAAGACTTAGCTGTTCCTTGCTAACTTGGATCATCTGGAAGGCCTCCACGGGTCCATGGACTACAGGTGGAATGACCACCACTTGGGAGTGAGCTTGTGGAGAGCACACAGCAGGGCTCCTCTATCTATCTTCCTGGTTCCTGTGCTCAGCATAGGGCTGGTGTAAATTGGGCCATCAATAAACGTTTGTAGAACAAATTAATTTGGAATTAATGTGTTCCCTTTTTAGCTATCAATTTATTACTAAAAGATTATATTGAAACTCTTCCATCTATACTGGAGTCATGTGGTAAGCAGTATCCAAGTTTCTGTTGTGTGCAGCAGAGGGAGTATTAAAAATTACAAACCTTGGTTTCTGTTCTCAGCATGTCGGCGACAATAATATGTGCAATGTGTAATGTAATACGGAAGGTTTCTGTATGGTACAATATAGGTACAATATAAGGAGTGTTGGGTTATTGTTTAGGAGAATGTAAGGTTTCCTTCAGGTAAGGATAAAAATGATGCTGTATCTAGTAATTCTTGTATTTTTAAAATTGTTGGCTGGGCATGGTGGCTCATGTCTGTAATCCCAGCTCTTTGGGAGGCCGAGGCAGGCAGATCACCTGACATCAGGAGTTTGAGACCAGCCTGGCCAACCTGGTGAAACCCCATCTCTAAAAAAATACAAAATTAGCTGGGCATGCTGGTGTGTGCCTGTAATCCCAGCTACTGGAGAGGCAGAGGCAGAAGAATCACTTGAACCCAAGAGGCAGAGATTGTAATGAGCTCAGATTGCACCACTGCACTTCAGCCTGGGTGACAGAGTAAGACTCCGTTTCAAAAAATAGTATCTATGACTGATAAAGTTACTTAGCCTTTAAATTTGATGCTAAAATAGTTTTAAATGTTCATTATGCTACTTTAAGTAAAATACCTTCATCAGTTACACATTTTAGTCTTATAACTATAATTCCTAAGTTGCCCTGAAACCCACCTTAAATAGAATTTTTTTTTTTTTTTTTTTTTTGAGATGGAGTCTCAGTCTCTTGCCCAGGATGGAGTGCAGTGGTGCAATCTCGGCTCACTGCCTCCCAGGTTCAAGCGCTTCTCCTGCCCCAGCCTCCCAAGTAGCTGGGATTACAGGCGCGTGCCACCACCCCCCACTAATTTTTTGTGATTTTATTAGAGATCTTTGACCATATTGGTCAGGCTGGTCTTGTACTCCTGACCTCAGGTGATCCACCCTCCTCGGCCTCCCAAAGTGCTGGGATTACAGGCATGAGCCACTACACCCAGCCACTCCAGTTTTTAACATTAGATTTCTTGTTGGCCATACTTTAAAATTGAGGCACAGTGATGTAATTGGTTTACAGCAGCTTTCCACTGGTCCCGTCAATAAGGCTTTGCCAAAACATTCCATCTTGTATTACAACACCTATCTTTAATCTGTACATTTATTTACATGACATTTCTGAACACAGATCTGAAGTATTTCTTTATTGTTGAGCCATGTCCTATAAAGAAGCAGGAGACTCTTAATGATTTCCCAAGTTCCCTTAACTTAGTTGAAATTAGTAAAAGTTACAGACCTAAAGATGAACATTTAGAAGGAAATACTAGAAAGGACAGTGCTTGCCTTAGTCCACTCAGGCTGTTAGAACAAATAACCAGAAACTGGATGACTTATAAACAAGTTATTTTTCCCCACAGTTCTTGAGGCTGGATAGAATGGTCATTTCTGGTGAGCACTGTCTTTACAGCTTGTCAGACCTAGGTTCGGAGCCTTAGGCAGGTTACCTAATCTTCTGATTGGCTCCCTAACTCATAAAATGTCTACTCCTTAAAGTAAAATTATTGACACATGGTAAGTGCTAAATCAAAGGTCACTATGACTATTCTTAGTTCATTTCTTGATAATTTCTGCTTCTATACATGTATGGATACAACTGTACCTCATGACATCTTCATTTGAGCTCCTGGCACTGACTGACTCCAGAGGCTTCCTACTCAAATTCATGAGGGAGAATCTGATTGGAACAGCTCATCAGGGCTGTGTCCTGGCTTACAGAGCAGTCTCTGCAGTACCAGGCATGCCCCTTGCAGAAGAGACGGCAGGGACTGGGGGGATCTGGGCATCCCAGCCCCCAAGGTCAGTGCCTTATGCCCTTTTCTCCTTTTGTGCTCACGCTAGTATTAACACAATGATTTCCAACCATGCTCTAGTGCTATCCTTTTTCACCCTTAAAATGATA